TTACCACAAAAACAGAAAACATAACATCCTGCAGCAAATCAATCCCAAAGCTAGCAAATCAATTTGCAAAATAATGCTAATAAAACAAATCCGAAATTCCTAATATACAGAAAATAAATTTAGTTGGTACGTCGTATAGAAAATTAATTAGAAGGTACAATTAAAAAGTTATTAGATGAGAGGTCTTAGAGGGAAAAAAGAAAAAAAAAATCAACTAGGTAGTACATGTGAAAAAAATAGTAGATTAAGGACAACTAAAGCTTACATTTGGGTCATGTCAAAATGCAAAGGCTCCGATTTGCACTTCAATAGGTCCACATTGGAGAAAAATTCAGCATTTAAGGATATGAGTTTTTTTTTTTTTTTCTTGAATAAAAATATAGACGAATCGAAATTCATGTTTCAGTTAAGACACTTATTTTGATCAAATAAAATATAGATGTAGAGCACACTTAAGAAAGAGAAAAGATCTCAGTCGGAATAAAAGAAACGAAGAACAATTTGGGGGTACATATGAGAATGGAAAACATATTTAAATATGGGCACATTTGAGGAAAAAATATTTTAATAGGAAATTATAAATATTCATATATAAAGGTCACATTTAATAGATGATATTTTAAAGAATCATCAGAGAAATATTTGAGTATGGGTATATTGTTAAAAAAAATTGTTTTAACAAAAGATACAAGGAAAAGAACAAAAAAAAAAAAAAGGAAAAAAAAAAAAAGGAAGCAGTAAAACCAAAGAAAAAGGAGGGGAAGGACTAAAATGAAAAAAAAAACAAGAATGGACTAAAAATCAAAAGAAAAAGAGAGGAGAGACTAAAAGACAACAAAAGAAAAAAAAATAAAGGACTAATAGATGAAAGGAGAAGGCAATTTCAACCAAAACTATGCTAGTTTAGTCGAAGGTAGAAATTACTTTTGACAACGACACTTCTATATATTGTCAGATTAAGGATCATCAAAGTAATAAATTAAAAATCACGAACCAAAATATAATAAGAGTTGGTTTGATAATGCTTTAGATTTTGAAAGAATTCTCGTTAGTTGTGGTGAAGCAAAAAATAGTTACGACACAAAATAGATGAGTCTTGGCAAACTCTAATTTTTAAGTTAGTTTCAAAAGTAGTATCGTAGGGTTTGGTAAAATATAAGGCTAAATTGAAATGTTTAAAATGGCCAAAATGGTATATGATATTTTATATATTGTAATTACTAATTTGGGGTAAGTTTATCATGAGGAACACTTTTCTGTTTTATTTTTTTCCCTACCAAATAAGAAACAAGAATGATAACTATATTTGATCAAATTCTTCACTTTAAATCTGATAATTTGAATTTTATTGCTTTGCTACCCTGTATTTTCTGTAATGACAAAAATGTTCCTTTGCTTTAGAAAAAAATTTCAAAATGGCCACTACACTTAAATATCCTTAATTTTAAATAGTAGGGAACACATTAAAAAAGAACATGAAAAAAGAAAGTCCGAGGGAGAGACACACGACGGAGGGTCGCCACAACAGCCTTCACAGGTCGATCACAAGACCCGCCCACGGGTCTTGCCACTGCGACTATGGTGAAAGAGGAAGTTTGAATCCACATTTCCAAGAAATAGTACCAACATATACACGATTATGTCAAAATTTTACAATTTCTTAAATTTAGGAAAGCAAAGATCGATTAGCAAATGCTTCAAGAGACTTTGATCAAGACGGGTAAAGGTTGTGGAGAAATCAATTGACAGAGCAGTAGTTCATGTCAATGTGAAATACTGACCACTTGATAGTATGTGACCATAACTTTGTTTTCTTTTCTGGCAAGTAATTATACCAAAAAAAAGGGGGACACCTAAAATATATGACAATGAACAACACAAAAAAGTATTCATAAAATTGAGAGTATTCAAAATGACACATCAAATTACGAACTTTCAAGATAAACAAATTCCTCTTTGTTTCTTAGCAAGAGAAAATTCTGATCTTAATTTACCTTATCTCAAATCTAAGAAGCTCAACTCATACTGACCATGAGCGCGTTCCGTAACATTAACACGCCTGGATTGTTGGGATCAACATGAAAGAACAAGAGTAAATATGAAGACCACATGACGATTAGATTCATGCTGCATCACTTTACAACGGAGATTCTGTTGTAGAGTGTAAAGTAGACTTCAGAAGTAACAAAGTTTACCTGTCAACTGCATAATCTGAAGAATGTGAAACAAGGGCAACTTCTCCAGGTAGCATCAACGAACACACATTAAAATTCATCAGGAACCTACCACATAAAACAATGGCCTTATAGCAAGAAAAAGAATGTAGTTATTGTTTAATATAAATAGAAGAAATGCCTTAGTTTATCAATTCTCCTAAAAGCTTGAGCTATTAGGCCTACAATAGGTTATATTCTCACACCCTCCTCATCTGTGGGCTGAATTGAAAATCGTGCAGTTAAGTATTAATAATAAAAATATATTAAAGACCAAACAAATAATGCTAATGTTAGAGAGTATATTACATGGGTTTGAAAAGACCTTCTGCTCTAATCATGCTAGTTTACCATTTCTCCTAAAAGTTTAAGCTATTAAGAAATAGACCAGTAATAGTTTTGTATTTTAACACTAAAAACAATAATATGGCCAACATTACAGGTCTCTAGTATTCTTAAGATGATTTTAAGATTGCCCATCCAAAGCCAACATGACTAGGTTTTATCATACAAATACCTTCTTTTTTTTTTTTGAAAAGGAAACTTTTAGTTGATGAAAAGAATATATACAGAGAAGAGGAAGAGATATCCACAAAACTAAAAACCAGGGATGGATTACAAGAAAGGGCCCAATCCCTAGTTAAGTCGGAAAATAAAACGTTACTGTTACACCATGGTCGCGAGATCGGCCATCTTCTTGAGTGGCAGACGTTGAGGACTGCTCGCAGAGGACCGAACGCCGACGCCGAGGCAACGCCATTATCTACGCCGAGAGATTGTGCGCGGGAAGGGGCGCCGGCCGCGACGCCTCGGTGCCCCGAGTCCACGACGCCGGTGCATCATTGTCATACCCTCTACCAGCTGTCTTGTCAACCCGAGGAGGGAAGTGCTGATTCGACTGCTACTGCAAAAGTCAGAGGGTCAGGCGGCAGATAGGAAGGATCAGCCGCATTCCCCGGGATAGTCATCATGAAAATCCACCTACCTCACGATTACCGAGAACAGAGGATGGCTTCCTCCTTGGGAACGGAGAATACACGTTCACATGTAAAGGCCTATAAATAGAGCCAATGAAACCCAGAAAAGGGTTAGACACCACTTCGTTGTAAAAGAGAGAATTTGTAACCAGTTGAAAGATTAGTGCATGCACAAGTGGATTAGGCAAAGAATTACTAACCACTATAAAATTGTTGTCTCATTTACGTTATTTTTCAGTTTTCATATCTGATTGAACCGCGAGCGTTTTTGGGAGAGATAACTACGAGTTGCCGGAAAACACCGTCAATAATTGGCGCTAGAAGGAGGGCCTAAAGCCCGGAAATTCAATCCAGTTTTTAACAAACTATGCCTCCCAGAAACGCACGCGTGCTCTCGGCCAACCCGATAAGCCAGACGACTCAAAACCCCGCCGCCGCTGGGACCTCCGCGAATTTGCTCCCACCGGCTACCGAAGGCCCCCCAGACTGTATCGACCGGCTCCAAAGGCAGGTCAAAACGTTGGCCGCAGCCGTGGAAAGGATGGCTACGGCCCTCGCCGGATGGAGTCAGGGACAGAACCCAATGCCCCCGCTCGAAGACGCGCCGATGAACCCGGTGAACGCCGTTGTTGGGGGCCAAGAGATTGGCGACCAACGCGGTGACACCGAGGAGATCGGTGATAGTTGAGCCAATGATCCCCATCCGGCCAAGTCGAACAGGTATGTCGGGAGCAGACAACAGGCGGCACGGAGGAGAGCGCAGGAGAAGGCTGCGGCGCAAGCTGTGAATAACAGGGACGCGCTCCCTCGACTGCAATCGGATGCGACTAGGAGCCTCATCAGTGCATGGCGGAGACCTCAGGACGAGGCTCGACGCCCGACGCGGGAAGGTCGTGCAGCGGCCAAGAGAGGAAGAGCTCGCTGCGGATAGTAAGACCTTAGCCGAAAAAATGGCTAGGCTGGAAAAGCAGATTGGTAGTCGACTGAACAACTTCGAGCAAGTCGTTGGGAAGGTGGTCGATGCGGTCAATGTCGACGCCAAGATGTACACGTCTCACGACCACCCATTCACGGAAAACATCATCCGGGTGCCGCTTCCCGACAGATACAAGTCGCCCCCCATCCCACTATACGACGGAAGGAGTGACCCGGACGACCACCTGGAGGTGTACACAGGGCACATGGTCCTGCATGGATACCCCGAGAAGGTTATGTGCCGGGCATTCAGGAATCACCTCTCCGATTCCGCGAGGAGGTGGTTTAGATCCCTGAAACCAAACTCCATCACCAGCTGGGATGATCTGAAGAACGCCTTTTTGACTCAGTTCATAGGTGTCAAGAAATACATCCCACCAAAACAAAACCTCTCGAGAGTGTACCAGGGATCTAATGAGTCCCTGAAAGACTGGATAGCCCGGTTTGGGGAACAGGTCGCCGCCACTGAGGGAATCTCCGACGAAGTGGCCTTGATGGGGGCACTGTCGAGCATGAAAAAGGATATCCCCTATAGCACAAACCTCGACCGGAGACCGCCCCACACCTACCAGGAATTCCTGACAAGGGCGCAGGGGTTTATCAACGCCGAGGAGGCAAAGAAGGCCTTGAAAAGCAAGGCAGCAACCCCTGCCAAGGAAGAGGTGGGGCAGGCGAGCAATCAGAACAACGGCAAGAAGCGCCGAGGTCCCCCTCAGGTGCAAGCCGAGCAGAGGTAAAACCCGGCTTCGAGTAATAGGGGCGGCGGCGCCTCGACGAGCCAGGGGGAAAATAAGCGGCCAAAGCTGCAGCGGTACGACGCCTACACCCCCTGACTATGGGAATCGAGGACGTCTACCACGAAATCAGTCATTTCCAGGTTCTGCGTCGACCACCACCGCTAAAGTCTGACCTGGCACGGAGGAACCAGAATAAATATTGTCGGTTTCACGGCGAGAACGGGCACACTACGGCCGAGTGCTATGACCTCAGGGACGAGGTCGAGAGGTTGATCCGAGAAGGGAGGCTCGGTGAATACCGAGCCGACCGTCGAAACAATAACAACAGGCGCAATAGCGACCGGCGAGACGAGCCGAGGCATGATAACCCGCCCGAACCAGTCGGAGTAATAAGGACGATCTTCGGCGGGCCATACCTCGGAGGTACCTCTCGACGCGCACAGAAAGAGTACGCCCGAGAGGCGAAGGAGAAGTTCAGCCAAAGGATCATGAACGTCTCCGGACACGAGGCTAAGGCCGCGCGATATGATGACGCCGAGATCACCTTCTCGGAAGTCGACGCGAGGGGGGTACATTTCCCCCAGAGCGACGCCCTGGTCGTCGAGGCCATGATCGGTAACCATATCATGGTCGACAACGGTAGTTCCGTGGACATTTTGTACGCAGACTGCCTTGACAAGATGGGGATTCCTCGCTCAAGGCTGCAGAACAGCGCCCAACCCCTGTACGGTTTCACGGGGGACAGCGTCGTCACGGAAGGGGCCATCGAACTGCCCATGACCATTGGAGACCGACCACACACCTCGACTGTTATGTTAAAGTTCCTGGTGGTAAAGGGAGGCGACCAATACAACGCGGTCATAGGATGCCCGACCTTGAGGACCTTGCGGGCGGTAACGTCCATTTACCATCAGATGATGAAGTTCCCCACGCCAAACGGGACCGGCAAGGGCAGAGGCAACTAGTACGAGTCGAGGCTCACGTACTCGGAAACCATACGCCACTACGCCGAACCGACACAGGTATGGAGAGAGCTGCGAATGGTCGATACCAGGGCAGAGGCACTCGACTTGGATCCAAGGTTCCCAGCTGAAGAGCCCGGAGCAGGACCGGTCGAGGAACTAATTGAGGTCCCTATCGATGAAAGGGACCCAACGTAAACACTGAAGATAGGTTCGGAGTTGGGGGCACGGGCCCGGGAAAAACTGGTCGAGTTTCTTAAGGGAAGCCTCGACGTGTTCGCCTGGACCCACGAGGACATGATAGGGATAAGTCCCGACGTCATGTGTCACCGGCAGAACATCGACGACAAGTTTCTGCCTAAGAGACAGAAGCGTCGACCAATGAACGCCGAGAGGTCCGAAGCCTTGCGGGAAGAAGTCGATAAACTCATGAGAAACAACTTCATCCGAGAAGTCTTGTACCCCGAATGGGTATCAAATCCTGTCTTGGTAAGGAAGCCGAATGGGGAGTGGCGAATGTGCGTCGACTTCAGCGACTTGAACAAAGCGTGTCCTAAGGACAGCTTCCCATTACCCCGAATTGACCAGCTGGTCGACGCCACGGCAGGGCACGAGCTACTGAGCTTCGAGGACGCGTACTCCGGGTACAACCAGATACCAATGCTCGACCGCGACGAAGAGCACACGGCGTTTGTCATCGACAGAGGGCTCTACTGTTACAGGGTGATGCCCTTCGGTCTCAAAAATGCTGGAGCAACCTACCAACGCCTCGTCAACAAGATGTTCGCGGGGCAGATAGGGAAGACTATGGAGGTCTACGTCGACGATATGCTGGTAAAGAGCAGGAAGACCGAAGACCACGAGGAGGACCTGGGAAGAATGTTCGGTGTCCTCAGAACGTACCAAATGAAGCTAAACCCTCGAAAGTGTGCCTTCGGCGTCGCTTCAGGGAAGTTCTTGGGTTTCATGGTGAGCAGTCGAGGGATCGAGGCCAATCCGCAAAAGATCCAGGCCTTCTTCGACATGGCATCGCCAAGGAAGCCTAAGGAGGTCCAGAAGCTGACAGGCTGTGTGGCTGCACTTAATAGGTTTATCTCCAAATCCACAGATAAGTGCACACCGTTCTTTGACACCCTGAGGGGAAGCAAGCCGTTTCTGTGGACGGAAGAGTGCGAACAGGCGTTCCAGCAATTGAAGGAACACCTTGGGAAACCCCTTATGCTGTCTAAGCCTGTGACCGGGGAGGTACTGAGCCTTTACCTGGCGGTCTCGAAGCACGCCGTTAGTTCGATGTTAATCCGCGAAGAGAAGAAGGTGCAGCTGCCAGTGTATTACACTAGCAAGCGCCTCCTCGACGCGGAGACGAGGTATCCCTAGATGGAAAAGCTCGCCCTAGCGTTAGTTGTGACAGCGAGGAAGTTACGGCACTACTTCCAGGCCCATAGCATTCAGGTCCTAACCAATCACCCCCTCAGGCAGGTGCTACAAAAGCCCGATGCCTCTGGTCGACTCCTTAAATGGTCAATAGAGCTCCGCCAGTTCGACATCGACTACAAACCACGGAGCGCTATCAAGGGCAAAGCCCTAGCCGACTTCGTGGCAGAGTCCACGGGACTACCAGCCGAGGTTGAGGGAGCAAACGAACTACCACGATGGAAGTTCTACGTCGACGGAAGCTCCAACGACAACGGCAGTGGGGCGGGGCTGGTGTTACACACATCGGAAGGACACAAGGTCACATCGGCCATCAGATTCGAATTCCCCGCGTCTAATAACGAGGCAAAGTACGAGGCACTGCTCGCCGGACTCCGGTTGGCGGAGCACTTGAAAGCGGAGAACCTCGATATCTTCAGTGACTCACAGCTCGTTGTGAATCAAGTGAAGGGCTAATACCAGACCAGGGATGAGAAGATGGCCGCGTATCTGAAGAAGGTTCAGGGAGCCCTGGGTAAATTCACAACCTATGACATACAACAGGTGCCAAGGGTAGAGAATAGTAACGCCGACGCCCTCGCCAAGTTAGCGACGTCGAGAGATTCCGAACTCTTGAATGTGGTACCCGTAGAGGTCTTGAGGATCCCGACCATAGCAAAGCGGCCCGAGGTCACCCCCGTGGATCTCCAACCTAGCTCGATGGACCCGATCATCAGGTACTTGGTCAACGGCGAACTTCCTGAGGACAAGCAGCAGGCCAAAAAGATGAAGTATCAAGCGGCAAGATACACGATGCACGACAACCTCCTCTACCGCAAGGGGTACTCGACGCCCTTGCTCAGGTGCCTCGGCGCAGAGGAGGCAAAAAGGGTGCTCTCGGAGGTGCACGATGGAGTTTGTGGGAACAACGCGGGAGGATAGTCCCTAGCCTACAAAATATTACGGCAAGGGTATTACTGGCCCAGCCTAAAAAAAGATGCGGCCGAGTACGCAAAAAGGTGCGAGAGCTGCCAGAGGTATGCCCCCACCCCTCGACTGCACTCAGGGGACTTAACATCCATACTATCCCCCTAGCCCTTCGCTAAATGGGGGATTGACCTTGTTGGCCCCCTGCACAAAACCCCAGGGGGGTACAAGTTCGCTATTGTCGCCGTCGACTACTTCACGAAGTGGGTCGAAGCCGAGCCATTGACGACCATCTCAGAGGCGAGATGCACGAACTTCATATGGAACAACATAGTTTGCAGGTTCGGTGTGCCGCATTCCCTCGTGTCCGACAATGGGAAACAGTTCAACAACGATAACACCAGCCAGTTTTGCGAGCTGCTGGGCATCCACAAAAATTTCTCCTCAGTCGTCTACCCCCAGTCTAACGGGCAGGTTGAGGCAGTCAATAAGATAATCAAAGTCACGCTCAAACGACGCCTCGACGCCTACAAGGGGAAATGGGCCGACGAGTTGCCAAAAGTGCTGTGGGCCTACCGAACCACGTGCAGAACTACAACAGGGGAAACCCCATTCTCGATGACCTATGGGTTCGAAGCAGTCCTGCCGGTAGAGGTGTCCATTCCGACTAACCGGGTGGCCCGGTACGAGGAGGATAGGAACACCGAGCTGATGAACTTAGAGCTCGACCTCTTGGAAGAACGACGCACAGATGCACAGTTAAGGCTCGCCGCCTACCAAGCAAGAACGGCCAGGTATTATAGAAGAAGGTTAAGCCGAAGCGTTTCGGGGTTGGGGACCTAGTCTTGCGAGTGGTAACCCCCAACACAAAACCCAAGAACTCCGGAGCCTTGGGTCCAACCTGGGAAAGGCCCTACAGAATAAAAGAGGTTGTTGCGAATGGGTCATATCGACTAGCAGAGCTCGACGGTCGAAGCATCAAGCATACATGGAATGCAGACCAGTTGAAGGTCTACTACCAGTGACTACGAGAAGCGTCGACCTAATAGACTAGACTTAACGTCTTCTATTTTTGCTTTTCATTTCCCCGTTCTGGCAGGCTGAAAAGCCAACTTGTAACTCATACATGAATAAATATACGTCGACACGTCGATCGATTCTTATTTCTTTGCAGATATGATCGCTTTATACTAAGGTCGATACGTCGACCAAAAATTGTCGATACGTCGACTAAAGTCGTCGATACGTCGACGACGATGCCCCGAAAACAAGTGCAAGCCCTTGTTCTTGGCAAGGGGGCAATATGAGCCCCCACGAACTCACAAAGACGGCAGGGCTCTGGCCCAACCGTGCTTGAGCTGCTACCAGATGTTCTACGCTCTACACATTCTACTATCTACATCGAAGCATTGACAACGATGCGCCAGAGCCGACTTCAAAAACTCAACTATGGCGAGGGGGTATTAAGGCAGTCGAGCCCATACTTAGCAAAATTTTTGCGGCAAAAATAAAAAAGGTAGTTGAGCCTACACTTAGCAAAAAAAAAAAAAAGAATTTTTTCCACACAACGCAATAAATGGAATAAGCACAAGTGCATATAAGAAAAATGAAAATAATAAAGGCTTGTCTCGACCTTATGGCCGTTACAAATTACCGAACAAATTGTCTGGGCCTCACGGCCCTGCAAAAAGAAAAGAAAGAAGAGGGGGTTGCAGCAAAAAATGTAAATAGATGGCCCCGGCTAAAGTCTCCTCCTTACTCGCCGCCCGCAGCCTGCTCCTCACCACTATGCGTCCGGTCGACACCATCGACTCCCTGCGCTGGCTCGACCATCTCCACGCCCTCACTGTCGGACTCGTCTAAGAAGGATAGGTCGACGTCCGAACGTTTCTGGCGGAAGCGGTCGAGGATTTGTTCCCCTGCGGACTGCATCAAGGACATCTGAAACTCTTCGAATTCGGCGGAAGCCTGGTAGGCCTCGAGCCTTTGGCTGACGAGCTCCTCGAAGGCCGTCGAGGATTTGAACTGCTGCACGTGGCCATCGATTAAGTCCTTGAGCTCCTGGGACTCTTTAAAGGCATCAAGCCTGGCGTCGACCACGCGGCGAAAGTCCTCGGAGGCCAGGAAGTCCGAGATGGCTTTGGAAGCGATCTCTCTTTGCCGCTGCAGGAACTCCGGAGATGAGAGGTATGCCTCGACCCCCTTAGAGCTCCCCTCCTTAAGGCCTTCCTCGTAGCTGCTGGACTTCTCGTTGGAGATACTATCCTTGAGGGACTGCACCTTTGCCTTCTCGACCTCCAAGTCCGTCGAGAGTTCGTCTCGAACCGCACGAAGGGCGGTAATCTCCTTCTCGGCAGCCACTGACGTCTTCTCCCCCTTAAGAAGGGTCTCCAGCTCTACGTAATTCTGAAGAGCAAGCTCGAGGGCCTGAATTCTAAAAGGAAGAAAGAATGCGGTCAAGATGGAGAAACCCAAACAAAAAGAAAAGGACTACTGCATACAAGAAAAAGTGGTGACGAGAGTCGAGGTCGAAGCTTACCGAGAGTTGACGCTTCACGGTCAGGCGCTGCCGGTCTAGGATACTCTCCCCGGCATAAACATCCCAGGTGTCCTCATGGAAGAAGGTGTATATGGCTTGCAGAGGAAGGCTGAAGCGAGGCGGGAGGCGCAGAGCGTGAGTGAAATCGAGGTCGACAACATCGGGCACAAGGAACAAGGGGTCATCAACCTTCGACCCCGGAAGCAGGACAGGCTCAGGGGGAGGGGGCGGAACCGCCAGGTTCGCAGCGACCTCGGCACCTTTGTTCCTCTCGAGGCGCCGACCTTGCCCGGAAGTCCCCACGACTACGGGAGGCACTCGTGGCCCTGTCACCTTTTGCCTCTTCGGGGCGGGGGGTTCGACCACGACTACCCCCTTTCTAGGGGTCACATTGACGCCCGGCGAGACAACGGCCTCGACTGTGCGCTGGCTCGACGTCCCGCTCGATCCCGCGCCGGTCGTGCTCTTCTTTGGCTTGACGAGGATGTTGTACTTCATCTCGGATGGCACGGCTACACGGAATGGAAGAGACCGAATTAGGGATACCTCGACTACACCCCTGGGTCTTTGCTAAAGAAATTGAAGGGGAAGAACAAACCTACCGTCGAGGAGATCCGCCGGAGGGACTACGGGTCGACTCAGGCGAGGAAGATCTACGATAAGGCCGTGCAGCAGGCGGTTCTTCTTAGTGTTGAGAACCGAGGCACGTCGACGATCGGGAGAAAGGGACAATATCTTCTCGACGCGACCGAGAGCGGCTGAGGAGAGCCTTGGGCGATCGACTTCGTCACCTGCGAACGGCAAACAATAAGTAACAGAAACCTCGACAGCGGCACAAAGATCTCATAAGAGAGGGAAAAGCGAGGGAGCCTACAGTATTTGCTGAATATTGTCTGAGTCTCTAACGGTCGATCGCCGTCGAGGGGGTGAGAATTAAAATTCCCCCCGAGGAAGAAAAATTGGGGTTTCCACCCGTGAGCGCTGGTGGTCTTCCCGATGACCACGGGGGGGACAGGAGGTTTGGACTTAGCATGGGAAGCTATGTAAAAGAATCCCCTTTGGTTAGGGGAGGCCCGGAGGGAGTAGCAGTGCAAGAACTCCTCGACGGTTAGATCGAGGCTCAAAAATTTCCTCCATAGTATCATCATGGAGTTTATTATCACCCAACAATTGGGAGACAACTGCGCGGGAGAAATCCTGTAGAGGCTGCAGAGGGCCTTCACGAACGGATGGAAGGGAAGAGTCATCCCGAAGGTGAGCGCTCGGGTATACACAGTCATGTGACCGCGGGGAGGGTTGTGAGCCCTGTCGGTGGGGGTCGGAATGATAAGGTAAAAGTGCTGGGGGTCAATCCCTGCGTCGGTGAACGCCTTCCTAGCGGCGTGGGGCCTAATCTTCGACGGGTCGAGGTCCGTCGCCAGCCCCGAAAGAGAGTTCGTCGGCGCCGCCCCATACCCTCGGTCCCCAGGCGGACCGGCATGCGGGTTAGCACCCTCATCGTCGAGGAGTACGAGTACATCCTTTTGAGAGGTTGAGGCTGACGCCTCAGTATACTCCTCGACTTGATGAAGCAAGGAATCCTCACCTCCACCCGAAGATGTGCTCGAAGTCGCGGCATCTTCGGGATCTTCCCTGACCCTGTGCTCGGAGACCTCTCGACCTCTAGTCTGCTTCGACGACATGTTCTGGAAAAAGGCAAACAAGGGGGCGAGTTAGCTCCTAGTGGTCGAGAGGCCAAAAGTGTAGGACAGGAGGACGGGTAGAATGTGCCGCGAGACCCAGAGGCACAAAGCCAAGTCTGGCGGCCTCAACGGCGATTAGACGGGTCAAGCAGTGTAGGCTCTACCGTCGGCATAGTGCCGGCGGCGCCAGGCAAGACCACATTCCATCCTCGGTGTGTTTTGACACAACCACCGCAGACAATGGGACCGGACCTACGGGAAGAGCAAGGAGAACGAAGACTTACCGGATTCTGGGATCAAAAGGCGGTCCAAATGCGGAAGGAGGCACGGAAGCAAGAGCTCGGGTGAAAATCCGACAGAGTAACGACGTCCAGAAAGCTCGGTGGTTAGGAAAATGGAGGCATGGGGGTATATATACCCACCAGAGGAAAGGCCCGGGGGTCCCCGAGGAGTCCAAAGGGCTCCTGATCTCGACCGTAGGATCAGATTTGGTCCCATCCGACGGTAGATCCGAGAAGGCGCGATCGAACGGTCGGGGAGGGAGCAACAGGAAAAGACTCGATTTGACGGCGACGAATCACCCCTCTAGCCCCACGTGGCGCTAGGGAAACGGCGACGCGACAGTTGGTACAATCGACGTGACTGCTCCACTGCCCGAGGAACCAACCGCAATGATGCCCTGTGCCTTCGAACAACCGCCCTTTCTCACAGAAAGCCCTACCTCCACGCGACCTCCTCGACGCTACATAGCCCGGAAGGTCGCGCCGCGACGTTCAGGCCTAGGGGGTTATTGTTACACCATGGTCGCGAGATCGGCCATCTTCTTGAGTGGCAAACGTCGAGGACTACTCGCAGAGGACCGAACGCTGGTGCCGAGGCAACACCATTATCTACGCCGAGAGATTGTGCGCAGGAAGGGGCGCCGGCCGCGACGCCTCGGCGCCCCGAGTCCACGACGCCGGTGCATCACTGTCATACCCTCTACCAGCTGTCTTGTCAACCCGAGGAGGGAAGTGCTGATTCGACTGCTACTGCAAAAGTCAGAGGGTCAGGCGGCAGATAAGAAGGATCAGCCGCATTCCCCGGGATAGTCATCATGAAAATCCACCTACCTCACGATTACCGAGAACAGAGGATGGCTTCCTCCTTGAGAACGGAGAATACACGTTCACATGTAAAGGCCTATAAATAGAGCCAATGAAACCCAGAAAAGGGTTAGACACCACTTCGTTGTAAAAGAGAGAATTTGTAACCAGTTGAAAGATTAGTGCATGCACAAATGGATTAGGCAAAGAATTACTGCTGAACCACTATAAAATTGTTGTCTACTTTACGTTATTTTTCAGTTTTCATATCTGATTGAACCGCGAGCGTTTTTGGAAGAGATAACTACGAGTTGCCGGAAAACACCGTCAACAGTTACTAAAACCAATTTCTTTATGAACCCAAATACCTATCCAAAATTTAATCATATCCCATATTACAGCGCTATCTTCCTCTTTGTCCTAAAAAACTCTTAAGATTTCTTTGCAGCCAAATACCCCAAAAAACTCCTAAAACAGCAACCTTCCAACGTAACTTGGACCTTCTGTTAAAGTCACCAGAAAGAAAAAAGATTACATAAAGCTTTGCAACTGATTGGCAATACCCAAGACAGCTGCAATTCCTTCAAAAGGATGCACCATATGCTGTAAGAAAACGAGCAGTGCAAGAAGAGGATGCTGTAAGCAAACGAGCAGTGCAAGAAGACGTGATCGGCCGATTCCCCAGAATTTTTGCAAGAGAATAAACCAACCTGGAGATAAAGAAATATGCAAATTTCTAAGCTGCATCAAATCATTAGTATTCAACTCATCAACAACTACCAAGTACATTACTTTGGTGTTTTACATCTTAAAAGCATGCAAAAACTTTAAACGCTGAACAAAACTGGTAAGCAAAATAGAGATGATGATGGTGATGATGAGATAGCTTAGAAACATACCCTCAGACTGAAATTCCATCTTTTGGGACATTTGTATGTCAGTGAGATTTCCTCTCTTTGATGCTCTGAATCCTGATAAGCTTTCCAGCAACAACAAAAGACTCAACCAGCAGCATGGCTACTTCTATTCAATGTTAAGAACTAAACCATGGATCTTCCAGCCAGTTCTTCCCGCTTATAAAACAAGCCGGTTCAGAAGGTCAATATTGAAATAGAAGCTTTCAGCTAATGGGAGTCAATATAGAAATAGAAGCTTTCAATAAGCATTCTCCATTCAACCATAGGATAAGCTAAGGCAGTGCAGGATATCCAAATTTGTGGAAAAAGCACATATGGAAGAAGTCTTGAGGATAAGGGAATACCAAGATCATTTGGTCAGTAAAATTTTCCCGAATACAATATGTTATTGCATCGCTGACATACAATAAGACAAGGCATCATTTCCACCAACAGCGTATGTAGATAACTGTGAAATTTTAGCTGCGTATGTAGATAACTGTGAAATTTTAGCTTGGTTGCAAAAGCACAGTTTTGTTCAACGTAGGCTGTAAAAGGCTGCATCCTCGCTCCTTCTTTAAGTTTTTCATTTCTATTAAACTCCTTATCTTCCCAGCATTATCCCACCCACCGGCCGCAGAATATAAGCTTGCTAGAGCAACATAGTTCACAGAATTATTTGGATCCATCTGAAATAAATGCTTAGCTGCTACTTCTCCAAGAGACATATTGCCATAGACGCTACAGGCCCCAAGAATGGAACCCCAAACTGATGCATTGGGCTTAATATTCAGCTTGCATATCAGATTATACGCGTCTTCCAACAAGCCTCCACGTGCAAAAATATCTACCAAACAAGATATATGTTCTGCTTGGGGTAAAATGTTGTACTTGCTGACCATATTATTGAAGCATTCCCATCCTTCATGAGTCAATCCGTTATGACTGCAAGCAAACAGAAGGGACAAGAATGTAACATCGTTTGGCTTTAAACCCTCACATTCCATCTCCTTATATAGTTCAATTGCCTTATGTCCAAAGCCATGCTTTCCATATCCAATAATCAACGATGTCCAGGAAATGATGTTTCTCTCTTCCATCTCATCAAAAGCACGAGTAGCTTCCTTGATTTCTCCTGTTTTTGCATACATGTCAATAATAGCATTGCCCGTGGCCACATCATAACGAGGTTGATGTTTGAAAGTAAGAGCATGGATTTGTCTCCCTAAGCTCAATGAGGGCATTTTGGCACATATATTAAGCATGGAGCACAGAGCAACATTATCAATCATCACGTCCATATAAATCAATTCTTTGAAGATATTCGCCGCATCTATACAACGGTTACCTTCCTGTGCGTATCCAACAATCAGAGCAGTGCAAGAGATAATATCCTTGTCAGACATACTCTCGTACAATTGATGAGAACTTTTCATGCTTCCACATTTTGCATAAGCATTAATTAGCGATCCACACAGAGTGTTGTATGATCCAAAACCTAGTTGGATAACAAGTCCATGCACTTGACTAACCTTCACAAGACAGTTCCCGTCGGCTAAGGCTCTCAAAAGGCTTCCCAAGGTGAAGCAATCAGGACTCATTCCTATTGAAATCAGCATTGTTTTTTTAACAATGAAATATGATGCATAGTTATCTAATGAAGCAAAAGAATATTATGATCCAGCATTTTCTTAAGCAAGAAAAATGAATTTCTGCAAGCAAATTTTTTCAGCCCCCCACCAAAAAAAAAAAAAGGCAAAAAGGGAAAAACATGAATCCAAACTGAAATTAAGCATTGTTTTTTAATAACCAAGTATTATGCACAGTAATCTAATGAAACAAAACGATATAATGATCGAGTATTTTTTGAAGCAAGAAAATTAATACAAACTAAACAAATTTTCAGTGAAAAAAAAAAAAAAAACACTGCAACACACACATTAAGGATTGGAAAAATCTGCATAACTGGGCAACAAATTACAGAAACTGGCAAGTGGCCACTACTTGAACCCAAAAAAAAGAAAGAAAGAAAGACAGAACACACACACAAGTTTTGGAACTTTAATCATATGTTCTAAAAATTTACCTGCTCTCATCATTGAACAGAACATTAGGAAAGAATCCTCAGAATAACCCTGAACAGCATACCCACCGATTATCGCATTCCACGATACCAAGTCCCTCTTCAGCATTTTCTCAAACACAAAACACGCATCCCCCATTCTTCCACACTTCGAATGAAAATCAATCAATGCACTTTGCACGTGCAAATCCTCCACAAACCTACTCTTTAGAACACACACGTGTACTTGCATCCCAGTCTCCAAGCATCTCAGACCCGTACATGCCCTCAAAGTGCTACCATACCCAAACTGATTAGCCTTAAAACCCGCTCTCCGCATTTCCACAAACAACATCAGAGCATTCCCGAAACAACCATTTTGAGTGTACCCGGAAATCATGGCAGTCCAAGACACAACACTTCTTTCAGACATTTTGTCGAACACTTTGCGTGCGGAAAGTGGTCGACCAACTTTTGCATAGAATATGACAAGTTTTGTGTTCAAATGAAGATTTGAATCGGACCCATGTGTTATGACATGGGTGTGAGCGAGAAGACCCGGCGTGATGGCTCTTGAATCGATGCAGTTTTGCAAAATGTTCATGTACAGAGAATAGTGATGAGAGACGGAATGAATTGGGTTGGAGAGGATTAGTTTTGCTGGTTCTTTCAGTCGTTTAATCTTACATGGAATTTGCATTATGTAATGTTTTCTGTTTTTTTCCTTTTATTTTCTATTGTATTACCCCACAAGTACAACTCAGGAGTTGGAAGTATTTAGTTATGGCGTAGAAGGAATTTGAAGGTTCATAACATTATGCTGTAGACAAGTTTCTTCAAGCTTCGGGTGTCTCTCACCTACTTGCTTTTGCGTTTGGCTTCCGTACGCAGTAATGATGAGTGTTTCACTATTTATTTCCGTGTAAGTTTGGGCCGCCGGCCTCGTCCGTAAGAAAATTTCATGCCAGAACAGCCATAAGCTATAAAAGACAGATAGTCCGATCAGCTTAAAAATTTAATATATAAGGTATTTTAAAAATTCGTTTGTTTTACGGATTTGAATTTTTAATTCAATTTTATTATAATTAAAAGTTTTAATAAAAAATCACATTTAATTTATTTTTACTATAGTTAAAAGCTCACATAAAGTCATATATCAGTTCAAATTAAAAACTCAAATCGCTGAACTAAACGTGACCTAAAAAAATAATAAAGAGAAAAATAACATAATTAGCAGAACAGCCATAAGCTATAAAAGACAGATAGTCCGATCAGCTTAAAAATTTAATATATAAGGTATTTTAAAAATTCGTTTGTTTTACAGATTTAAATTTTTAATTCAATTTTATTATAATTAAAAGTTCTTATAAAAAATTACATTTAATTTATTTTTACTATAGTTAAAAGCTCACATAAAGTCATATCTCAGTTCAAATTAAAAACTCAAATCGCTGAACTAAACGTGACCTAAAAAAATAATAAAGAGAAAAATAGCATAATTAGTAAATTATAACATATTTTTTAAAAAATAGTAAATTATAGCATAATTTGATTTTTTAAGTTTTAAGCAATATTAAAAACTCAAAAAATACTCTTAAACCTCATTTTTCATCTCACTCTTTCTCCATAAATATCTATTTTTTAAAAAAATAGTAAATTATAGCATATTTTTTAAAACAAGTAGATTATAGTCAAATCCACCATGACTGGGACCGGCAACCGGCTCCAACAATCAGCTCCGGCAACCAGCGACCGTTTTTCAACGACCGGTGTCTGTTTTTCGATGATTGTTTAACATTGTATTTACCAGTAAATACCGTATTCACCATTTAAAATCGTATTTACTAGTAAATACTATATTTACTTGAAAAGCCGACTACCGACTCTAACAACCCGTTTAACGTTGTATTTACAGGTAAATACCGTATTTACCAATAAATTCCGTATTTACTAGTAAATATCATAAAGGTGTTTTAGTAACGCTCTGGTTCATGAAGGTGTTTTATGAATCATTGTCCATTAAAGAATCAATGGTACTCAAGATAAAGATGTAATTAGAGAGGTTAACGGATTTCACCTAGCTCTAATTATGAATTGTTTATGGAGCATTGATCTATATGCAGTGACTATCAAATGGACACTTTACAGTTTAGAAGTAATTTATGTCAATAATTACGAGAGTACAATTCCAAGTTTCTAGTGGAGTAACTATTAGAATTAATAAAATTAATTAATTAATTAAAGTGTTTGATTAATTATTAATTTTATTGGAGCTTGAAATTATAGGTCCATGAGCCCCAACGTCATCTTAGTAATTTCACAAGACACAAAGGGCAAAATGAAAATTTTAGAATTACAGAATTCTAAAATAAAACACTCAAGGATAATTAATTGAGAATTAATTATAAATTAAATAATGTGATTATTTAAATTTAAATTTGAATTTTAGATCACTTATGTGAAGGTGTTCACAGTGTAAATGCATAGCACATTGTGAATCCTTTTGGGATTCAAATTGCTTGAGGTCATAGTTATCCAATTAACTTATTTGATAAGTTGTTCGATTTGAAAATCAATTGATTTAAGGTTGACTTAAATTGGAATTTGAATTTGAGTTAAAATTAAACTGTTGGATAAATGCATAATCTTGCCCTAATTCTTTATACATTATGCACCTGCCACAGGGAGGATTTCTCCCTGTGGTGGCTGGCCATAAAGAGATAAGGGAAGGGAGAATTTGTTACAAATTCGAATGGGAGATAATTGATAAGCTTTATCTTGGAGATAAAGATTAGACTCTTTCTAAGAGTTTGACTACTACTTTATAAATAAGAGATTGTAGAAAATTGTGAGACACAATTTTTCTCTCTCAAAAATCATAGTGGCCAAATATTCATAGAAGTTGAAGGAAAAATTTTCTCCAAAAATTTCACGTCGGGCATGTGTTGGTGTTTGTGGAAAATTCGAGTGTTTTATTGATAATCTTATTTGTCTTAGGTGTGCACACACACACACACGTCTTCGTGATTTTTAGGAATTGACGAGGAAGATTGTCACGCACCAAAATAGGGGTTAGTGACGTGGAGGTTTATTTAGAAATTAAACAGAATTAAGAAAATAATTAAACATTAATGATGCTCAAATCAATTTTAAAGATAAAATATTTAAGAATTTCCAAACAAACCCCATAATTTTAAAGAAATTGGGTTTCAAGAAAAAGGACATGGATTCCACAATACCACGATAAAACAAGTTTAAAACTAAACCTCTCGCATCATATTAGGTTTCCCTATAGGAAAATTCATATTGTAGCATACATAGACAAAGCAAGTAACTGAGATAGACATCAACCACAGTCTAGGAGTATTTAATGTTACAAACCAGAAACTATCATGCCTTAGAGGTGTACAGCAATGATAGAAGTAATTACAACATCTTCGCTTGAACAGCATAAAGCATGATTTTCTCTTCCTTCCATATCTGTATTTGGCGCCACACAAGGATAAATCCCTCTATTGGTGGCCGGCCATAATGGATAAAATGAAAGAGGAGATTTTTTTCCAAATTGAAAAAGGAGATAATTAACAAGCTTTATCTTAGAGATAAAAAATAGATTCCTTCTAGAAGTTTGACTTCTATTCTATAAATAAGTGAATGATAGAAAATTGTGTGACACAATTTTTGCTATTTTTTCCATAGTGGCCGAATTCTCTAAAGAGTGGGAAGGAAAAATTTTTCTCCAAAAAAATTCCATGTCGTGCGTGCATTAGTGTTCGTAGAAAATTCGAGTGTTTTATTGCTAATCCTATTTTGTCTCACGTGTGCCCACACACACGTCTTCGTGGATTCTAAGAATTGACGAGGAAGACATTAGTTTTCTAAACTAGCTTTGGAGCAAGGAACGTTCGAGGTCAAAGAACTCAAGTTACCATCCTAATCGGCTGCTAGGTATAATTCTCATTCGAGTTCTTATTAAATAAATTAATGAGATTAATTTATTCGTGCGTAAATTAATATAATTTATAGAGTATCTCAAAGATATTATGATAATTTTTGTTATACACAATCCGCTACCCTCACGCTTCCGCATTCGAATTCGATTCAAAAACCAGCAATTGGTATGAGAGCGGCCTATAGACGATATTAATTTATGCTCTGATTATTTGATAATCAAAATTAATATATTAAATATGTGATATTTTATTATGTATGTATGTTATGAGTAGGCACTTACATTTATGGATGTTTATGTTTAATTCATGTTGATGAATGTATAGATGGTGGATTTGGTCGATAATTATATTGTTCCATGGATCGCATTAAATTCGTTCAAATTAAATTATTTGTAATTTTATTCAGGATTAGAATTATTGTAATTCTAGGGTTTTGGGTAGATTAGGGTTTCAAATTTTCATGCACAAGAAGCCCGGAAGACACCCCATGTAACCCCGCACCACTAACCCTGAATCTACCCAGCTCAGCCACATCGCGCGCACGCCAGC